AATTTGATGTTATTTGTTCAGCATCTAGAGTCTTTTGCGATTATAAATATTGTGTGTCAAAACGCTTTATTTGATGTTAATAGTGTCATAGTTACATAACCATTTGTGTAAGTATTGTTTACATATAAAAATGAATTATTTATGTTTTATCTGTAAATTAGATCATTATTGCCAGAGTTTACTTCCACTATGTTTAAAATACCAACTGTAATGTGCCAAAGTAAAGTTTAATTTTATATGTATAAGTTTATTGTATTTTCTTTTGTTAAAATCTGTATCTGCTGATCCTAACTTGTAATTTAGCTCATTGCTATATTGCTCCATCTCTGTCCTTAATCTTGGTTTTGTGTTTGCATACAAGCTAAAAGCACTGTTACAAGTTGTTTCATAACACCTCACTTTTATTTTAATAGTGTGTTTGGGATACTTTTGCATTTCATCCCTCATATTTTAAAATTGTGAAATGACTTTTTGGTTAAATGAGAATATGTGTGCTTGCTTTCTCTGTACAAACTAAATGTTTTCTGTATAACTCCTAAATTACCCTAAAATCAAACCGCGTCTTAAAAAATACCATATTTTAATGAAGCTCAAGAACTTAACATATTTTTAAACTGTACAGCAGCCCCTATTTAGTTATATGATTTATGTGTAGTTTACATTAACAGGAGTTATATGTTACTTTATAGAAATATTATATATCTTTTTAATTTAATAACTGAGTACTTACAAAATGTTCGGCGTTGTCGAAATTTCATATGTGAATGAATGCAGAATGGTGATGAAGATTCTGATAGTTAAAAAGCAACTGTACAATAATATAGCACGTCATCGGTAGTGCAGTAGTTACTTTTAACTTTTAGTAACTTTAGAAATATGTTTCTAAAATTTTGATTATGTTGTGTTCTGCTACAAATGTATATGCAGTTTTCCCTAATAGATGCTTTAGATTTTCATGGTCTGAGGCAATTTTAAGAATGCAAAATTTGAACCAGTTTGCAGTGGTCTTTGTTTAGTAGCTTATCTGTTGTTTTTGTGGGATTGCAAGTAGTATTGTTAGAGTATTATGTTATAAATATAGCAAGTAAATTACCAATAATGCAGATTGTTAAAATTTTTTTGTATTGCATTATTGTATCCTGAAGTTATGTATGTAACCATATCAAACACTGGCAAGCTACTATCTGAAGCCACTAGCAACTTTACCATTTGTCCCAAAAGTGTGTGTTTGGAGACTCCTAAAGCTATTGATTTATTATTTCAGGGGGGCAAACTGCAACTCTGTTATTCTACAATATGCATAGCCCTTTTTTCAATTCATTTTGTTTCCTAAAAAAATTCTCGAAGTCCTCATATAATTGTTATAGATAAAAAATGTCCATTAAAACCATCTTGATTGACCAGATACATTTTCATCTAATTCAAATCATTGTCTACTTGTACAGGGGCCAGTGGTTCTTGTATTATATTTTTCCCTTTAGAACAGGCTTTATGTTAATATTATCGTAATTTTTTTTAACTCTCTTAAGTGATAAATTTAAGGTAAGACTCATAACAACAGAAAACATGCAGTCATTATCATTGTTGTATTCCGTAATTTGAGACTAAGCACTGAAAAGGGCGTATTTTTGTAAGTGTGCAGTATAGCTTAAATTTAAATCAGCAAAGTAAGAAGTATTCAAACTTACTGCATAAATATGCTAACAAACAAAATATATTTTGCAGATGTTGGTGCAAAATTGCAGTGTATGTGCAATTTTCTAGTACATATATTTTTAATAGCAAGAAAATAATTTTTTATATTGAGTTTTAGACAAAAAGAGGTAAAATTCATCATTAATAAATATTAATTTACATTCTGTTTGTTTTGATATTTATCCACATGTAATGAGTATTTTTTTCATTTTGTTTTTAATATTGCTGTCTTGAAGTGATGCCTGAAAAATAAATGTTCTTATAGCATTACTGATATGAAATCTCCAAAAATCTATACTATATATATATATGTCGCAGTTTCTAAAGTTATGTATTTATCATTTAACTTCACACGTTATAAAGTGCAAGGATCATTGACATCATGTAAAATTTTGTTAATAATGTTGTGTAATACCTGTTATGTTATTTAAAACTAATGTGTAACTAAGACTGATACGTATTATGTTTTCTATAAAACAAAATTAAAACCTACAAAATCTGCCTTTTATTTTGCAATATCCACCTATTGTTGTATTATAATTTGTCATTCTAAAAATTGTAGAATATTTTGCAATAATTTTTTAAATGCCTGATGATAAAATCAGAAATTAAAAATAATTTTAAAACTCCAAAAAAAATATTTTTTATTAATTTGCTGAATTTGTTGCGTGAAATTCTTTTGCATTTTAATGCTGGATGAAATACATTCTGTCAAAACAGTAAATAAATGGAATAAAATGAAACAGAACTATTACAATAGTGAATTTAGATGCATAGCAATGTATTCATAATATGGATGAGTTCCCCCACTTCTAAAATAGCATTTCCTTTTTTTTTTTTTTTTTTCCAGTGAATAATATTAACTAAAAAATAATAAGTGGGTATTTTTTTTTTATCTCATTTTACTTTCTGTTGTATACTGTGCGTAAAAAGTAGGAAATTTAATCCTGTAATTCTATGTTTCCTTGTTAGTCAGAATTATTGTAACTTGAAATAATCAAACATTTTACTATACCTGGTAAAATTTCTTATGCATTTGTTTTCGCAGGAGTGCTAAAAAGAGTGTCATGCTATTTGTTAATGTACCAATTAAAAAGCTGCATAAATAAAAGTAATCTTTTTCCCACTTTTGTTTGAAAATTTTTTTATATTTATATATTTCAGAAACCTAATATTTTGATATTTTATTTTTCATTATGCTGGTCAATTTCTAGTATTTTAAACTAGTGTTTGCACATAATCTATGAAAGTTGTATTAAAAATTTAGAATTATTTAAATGTGATTTTTACAGGAAGTTAAATTCTATTTTTGTAATCTTTAAAAATTGGTCATACATATTATTTAAGCTAACTTCACAATGAAGTTGTTTCCATAGCCAACAGAAATGGTTGAATAATATTCTTATATATTGAACGTTATTTTGAAAAATACTATATGTGATATTAAGTTTCCTTCTTTGTAATTACATTGATTGTGATTTAAATAAAAGATACAGCAAACTGGAAGCAAAATAACATCTGCCTGTGTACAGTGCATAATCTGTTTTACTGAATTCAGTATTAAGAAACATAAAACAATTTCTTTTGCAGCATAATTATTTAACATTATCAGTGTCATAATTTAGAGTTCCAATGATACCTCAAACAGTGAGATAAGGATCAGCTAACTCAAAACCCTGATAATTTGGAATTTATGAAAATCTTTATGAAACTTTGTTACAGTATGAGGATGAGTAATAAAATGTTGTCTTATCTTTACCTAATTATAAATAAATCTAAATTTGTTCCTTGGAATTTTTAGCATTTGTTAGATTTTATCAGAAAATTTATGGCTCTTTTTTTTTTTTTTTAATAATATATATATATATATATATGCTTTTACAAAGGTTTCTTGTCATTTAATATGCAGGGTTTTTTTTCATATCTTAAAAGCAAGTATAGGAATATTAATACTAAATAAAAATAATATATCCTCAGATATGCCTAATAATTGTTCTGCAATTACCTAAGCCAAAGTACTGACCATTGCAAATTAGCTCCCACATATAATTTAAAACAACAAATTAAAAAAATATTTTCCAGAAAAAATTGTAACAGGAAGCATGTAGTAATTCAATTAACAAGAACAAATCACATGTATTTCTAATAACTTAAGGCATTTTAGTTTTTTGTTGCAAACTTTAAACAGCAGGTTTTGTTCATCTTGCTGTTTAGATCTTTTAATATCTTTAATCTTTGCAACTTATAAGTATTTTGCATCAGTAATTTAAAACTTCTTAATAATTGCATGCATAATTAAATAACTTCTTAATAATTACATGCATAAATATTAATTAGAATACTGAAATATTTTCTTATTCACTCAGCTGACATGAATTGCAGTTTTATGAAAGAAGCATCCAACACACCTGCAATTTGTACATTCTATTAGCATGATAGAGGCCATGCAAGTTATCAGTAATGCAGTGTCTCTGCATATCATGGACATCACTGAGTTGTTTTTCTCATATGAAAATCTTGTTTATTTGAGTAAAAGATCTTGGTATGCCATGTTATATAGACAGTGTAACGAAAATATCAGAACTACGTCGAGACTACCCGTCAACGGTTGTTCTGCACAGGTTCTTAATAGATACGTATATAAACCTTAATAATAATTAGACACAGTTAGTCTACTATTAGAATATCTGTTTACAATTTCAACATTTATAGAAAAAGAAATAAATCTTATCTACTTAAATTCTGCACATGTTTCTTGACGAATAAACTACTTTGTTAACAGTTGACATCAGTATTTTCACAGTAAAGCAGGAACTAGGATATTATTCAATAAACAAAACACAAAATACAATATATCATTCAATTCAATTCATATCAACATTAAATTCATAGAACACTTCTATCACTAAGCAAACACGGATCAGAACGTGCATGGCAACGCCGAAAACTGATGCCATCCCCAAAAAAGAAAGGATACAAAAAACTCGCGACATTAAAACATTAATACATTAAAAGTCTTGTGTTCATTCAATAAAGTTATTCATAAAACTGTCTCGTGGATATCTTCCGAAGTTTATTGACGGCATTACGTAACATCCTCTCACCTTGATTTGCCACCTTCGCGGTAAATCAACAAAGTTCGAAAGTTCAATAGCCCAGTCTCTTAGGTATCTTGATTACTCTGCCGCTTCTTGACGTCCGAGGAGCTGCTGAAACATCCTTCTGAATTGGAATGTCATTCTGTGATGTTGCTGGTGTGTCATTAGTAGTATGTTGATCTGGTATAATGGGGATCCCCAGAAGAATTAACTTCTAGAGGGATAAATTTTTTGGACTGGACGAACGAGATGACCAAGTGGAGTTTTGACTTTGACGACTCTCACATGGCCGTCTCTCCCTGGATACAGTTCTTCAATCACTGCAAGTGGCCAATTAAGTCTCTTCTGGTTTTCAGAACCAACAAGGACCACTTCTCCAACTTTGAAAATTTTGTCAGATGTGCCAGCTTTTTGCACCAACTGACCTAAGTATTCTTTCCGGAATCGTTCGTCTGAATTGTTCACGCAGTTCTTGGCAATACGTTCTCTCTTTACCAGTTTGTTCCTATCCAAATGATCAAGATCAGCCGTTCCAATCTCTTTTACATCTTGGAGAGAAAGTTGGATGGTGTTAGAGGCCTCAACTCATCTGCATCGTTGGAGATGTATGTTAACGGGGGCTTAACTGCGTCGCAAAGAACTGTGAGGAGTTCCTCATACGTAACAGACGACTTACCAAGAACTCGAACAAGTAGATTTTTCACTATGCGAATTAGTCTCTCCCACCAACCGCCCACCATGCTGCGGTTGGGGGAAATGAATTTCCAGTTAATTGGATTTAGAGTTTCAAGAGCAGCTATCTTTTGCCACTCAATTTGGTTCAATGCACCAGAGACACCGATAAAGTTCGTGCCGTTGTCACTATAGATAACTGTCGGACGGCCTCGTCGAGCGATGAATCTTCTCAACGCGAGTGAACAGCAATCTGCACTTAAGGATGTCACGATCTCCAAATGTATTGCTCTGTAGACTGCACATGTAAACAGCACCACCCAGGCTTTAGTCCTTTTCCTAAGAATAAGGGGACCACACAAGTCAATTTCGGTGACTTCGAAAGTTCGAGCGTCCCGTACTCTGTCTAAAGGTAAATGAATAGGTATGGTTGAAGGTGACTTTGTTGTGAATCTCTTGCAGGTAATGCATTTCTTGATTATTGATCTAATTGTTTGTCTAGCTGAAATAATCCAATATTCTTCTCTAATCATTGACATGAGCATTTGAACACCGGCATGAGAATTCTTTTTATGGTATTCGAGCACTAGACTTTGCACAATATGATGCTTTGACGGAAGTAGAATTGGATATTTAAATCCAAATTCATCATCTCTTGCGAGAATCTTTGTTTTCACTCTTATCAGTCCTATTTCATCTCTGACGACTGAAAGACCATTTATTACATCTCCAGTCTGAGAAAAACTTTCACGTTGAACTAGTAGACTCAAAGTGTTCTTTGAATCTTTTAACTCGGTTGCAGACAAGAATTTTGCTCTATTTACAGATTTTGCCTGACAGCGTCTAATAAATCTTAGAACCCATGCTAAAATTCTTACAATTGCTGAAAATTTAGAATATTTTTCATACCACTTAGATGTATCAGTACTCACACTAACGTTTAATACTACAGTTTTCTTTCTGATTTCGGAAGAAATTAATGCCTCATTGGGTTTAATTTCAAGGCGTGGCCAACTATCCTTCGGATTCTTTAACCAGTTAGAACCCTCCCACCATGAATTCTTTAGAATGTGATGAGGGGTACAACCACGAGATGTTATATCAGCTGGATTTAATTGGCTTGGCACGTAAGACCACTGATTTTCCTCTGAAAGAGCACAAATCTCTCTGACACTATTTCCTACAAAAGTTCCCCATTGATCATTGCGCTTGATCCATGACAGAGCTGTGGTGGAATCAGACCAGTAATGTTTTTCAATTTCGTCTAAGGATAATGCCTCTACAACATACTTCGCTAGACGTACTCCTAAAACACAAGCTAAAAGTTCAAGACGTGGTATTGTCATCTTTCTTAAAGGTGCAACACGAGATTTTGCGATCAGAAAATTTACACATGTGCCACCATTGTTTTCGCAGCGTAAAAAAATCACGGTCGCGTAAGCTTTCTGGCTCGAGTCACAAAAAAACATGCAATGTCCAACTTTGTTTGCTTCCATATCCTGTTCTGCGGGATATTTTCAAATCTGAAAAGATCTGTAATTCACAGTACCATTTCAAAACTTTTTGTTTGACCTCTGCTGACAGTGGAGAATCCCAATCTGCTTTAATAGACCAAACTTCTTGAATCAATAACTTATCCGGTAATAATACAGGAGCTAAGAACCCTAGCGGATCGAAAATCTCCTTTGTTAATGACAAAATCTCTCTTTTTGACAGGTTGTCTAGATTTCGCACAGACTTAATATGAATAGAAAGGCTATCATCCGTTCTATCCCATAGAATACCCAAGGCTGAAATCTGATTCTTAGAAAGAGATTCCGAATTATCATTCTTCGAAATTTTATTAACGTCCTTTATAGGACCGAATGTCCACATCCGTAGGTCCATCTTAGCTTCTGCCAAAATGTCAATTGATTCCATAAAATCTTTCAACTCTTTCTCTGTGTCAAGAGACGTGACACAATTATCGACATAAAAAAAATTTCGAAGCTTTTCTGCTACGTGACTTTGCTATTCATTTTTACCTAAGGGGCCTAAAAAATGTTCACAAGCAATATCTTCCGCATTCTTTGTAGAATTGCTGCTGGAATCTGAAATTCCTCTTGTCTCTAAGTTCCAAAGATCGGATACGTTTAGGTCCCGAAACGTCAGACTTACATTCAGAGTAGATATACCACTACTTTGTGGTTCGGAAGGCTCCTTAAGTCGACCACAAACAGTCCATCCTAATGTAGTGTCAACTGCAGTCAAACCTCCATCGAGCTGTTTGACTTTCCCTGTAAGAATTGAACCGTAAATGTCACTGCCGATTAGCATCTCTATCTTCGGGCAACCTGTTCCTATGTCTGAAAGCCATATCTTTTTACACTTAAGTTCTTTTAAAATAGGGCCCTTAGATACGCGTGCTATATTTCCACATATAGCTTCCTGATCCAAAAATACAAATTCCATTTCTTTTCTCATATACGGATTTAGAGAGCGTAGCTTGATCCGATACTTTTTATGTACGTTCGGTTCAATTTTAACCCCTCCAAAAAGCGTGTGAGCTACAGTTTCCTCGGCAATGGGAGAGTTAGTCCTTAATTCCTGTACCATAGACTTCAAAATTAACGATTTTTGTGATCCGCAATCGAGAAGCGCTCGTACTTCTCTCGTGCCTGATTTTCCTAACACATTCACTTTAATTGTCATGAGAGCTACGTCCGTGGAACACACCTGTCCCGCCGTAGTTGCCTGAACGGTGTCTGGCTTTGTTGCCTTTTCCTGAGTTTCCTGCATCTGCAGATCCGGGCAGAGAGAAATTGTGTGAGCCTTACCACACACAGCAACGTACAAACTGTTTACACGACTTAGCAACATGTCCAGGCAAAAGACACTTTAGGCAACATCTCTTAAGCCTAATTTTATTCTTTTTCTCATCTAATGACAGAGAGCGTGCTTCGTAACAGTCCTTACTATCGTGTAGTTTATCGCAAAAAATACAGTTATTATCTTTCGTCGTAAGGAAACCTGCCGCCGTAGGGACATTCGTTAACTGTTTCGATTTAAATTTGCTTTTTAATTCTCTTTTCGATTTATTGCAATACTTGTCTTTTTGCCCAAAAATTTCAAATCCACTCCGCGCTAACTTAAGTCTTTCCTCCCCTTCCACTTCGCATCTTAAAAATTTCATCAAATTAGTTAGGCGAGAAATATTCTGACTTTCCTTTACTTCTCCAAAAAGCGGGACTTCTTTGCCTAGGCTCTGAGAACTTCCTCCGAGAGGCATGATTCTACCGTGGGATATAACCAACAAGCATTGCTTTCCGTTTTAATATCTAAGGATTCGAGAGCTCTTAGTTGTGCTTCAATCTTATCAAATAATTGCGGCAATGGTAATTTTTCACTACTGCCTGTCTTAACATTCGTTACAATCAACTTTACAAGCTCTCTCACGAATACCTCAATTAATAAATCCTGATTCCCGAAACGTTCCTTGAGAGCACTAATAGCTTTTGAATAATTTTTCGCAGACATTGGGTAACTGTCAATAAAGTCTCTAGCGCGTCCCTTGTTTCATGCTTTGCACAAGATACTGAAATTTGTCACTTTCGTGCAAATCAGGGTCCTCGTGTATTTTTTCGAACTGAGACCAAAACGGAAGCCAGTTCAATAATTCTCCATCGAACTTCTTAAGCTCTATTTTCGGGAGCTTTAACGATTTAGTATTACGAGGTGAATTACTAGAAACACTACCTTGCGACCTAGTTTCTAAATTTATCTGTTCTAAGGCACCTAAATTTCTCACTAACTAATAAGCGAGAAATGGTTAATAAATTCATCCTTATAAATATCCCAGCTTTCCATTTCATCGTTAATTTTTTCAGGCGTTACATCAGTCGAAATTATAAAAATTCAAAATCTGCTCGTTAAGTTCCTCAATATCTTTCTGTAACATTTGCAACTTTGTAAATTTATCTTTAATTATACCTGCTGAAAAATCATCCTTACCAACTTCGCTTTTCAAAACATTAACAGTCTTGGTAAAGGAAGAACGCAATCCTCCGCGTTTTACAGTTAAAGGATTCATAATAAAACGATGAATGAAACCAGCTTTACTTCACAAAATACCATTCAACAAAATAATTCTAACAGAAACCTCACTGCATCCTGTCGCGGACGCCACTTATAACGAAAATATTATCAAAAAGTATCAGAACTACGCCGAGACTACCCGTCAACGGTTGTTCTGCACAGGTTCTTAATAGATACGTATATAAACCTTAATAATAATTAGACACAGTGAGTCTACTATTAGAATATCTGTTTACAATTTCAATATTTATAGAAAAAGAAATAAATCTTATCTACTTGAATTCTGCATATGTTTCTTGACGAATAAATTACTTTGTTAACACTTGACATCAGTATTTTCACAGTTTCACAGTAAAGCAGGAACTAGGATATTATTCAACAAACAGAACGCAAAAATACAATATATCATTCAATTCAATTCATATCAACATTAAATTCATAGAACACTTCTATCACTAAGCAAACACGGATCAACGTGCATGGCAACGCCGAAAACTGATGCCATCCCCAAAAAGGAAAGGATACAAAAAACTCACGACATTAAAACATTAATACATTAAAAGTCTCGTGTTCATTCAATAAAGTTATTCATAAAACTGTCTCGTAGATATGTTCCGAAGTTTATTGACGGCATTACGTAACAAACAGAATTTGAACTGTCAGATATCCAGTGAGAATTATAGCTTACTATGACTGCAGATTATCTTACCTTGATATTGCTGCTGGTTGTTTGTGAATATTCAGTCATTCTTGTGTTAATATGGAATTTATGGGTCCGTGAGAGAAATGGAGTGATGTGCACAATCACAGTTGCCTTGACTTTTCAACACTAAAAAACATTTTTTTGCACATGTAAATTGTTAAGTACAGGAGTTAGGGCATGTTGCTGAAGTATCTACACATGTGGTGTGACATCATCTGCAGCATCACTGGCTGTTTATAAAGCATCCATTGCTTTTACCTTTAACACTATATTTGAATGGTGTACATATATTTACATTGTCTTTTTCAACGAATCACGTATTTACATGCAACGGCTTGATGCCTATGTCCGTATAGGTCAGCACCATGGAGACTCATTTTCGGAATCTTTCATTATGAATTGTCATATTGGTCCAGCGCCAGTATTTATAGTATGGGATGCTGCTGGATATAAGTCCAGCTTATGTGTAGCAGTCCTATTTATTTCATGGATTAAGTCCTGCTCATATCATGCCTGCAGTTGTCCTCTAGTTTCAAGGCATCCTTCGAGTTTCATTATTTGAATCTTTCGAACATTGACGTGTGAAATTGTTAAACCTTTTAACTTTTCAAAGCTTCGTTTAAATGGCGCTCAACAGAAGCCCTATTTAAAAGAAACTTTCAGTTTTGAAATCGGCTTGCACTTTTTTCGAATGCAAATTAAAATCCGTACATATTCATTGCTCTTCGGCAAGATTCTTAATCAGCACATCTTAATACCATTGTACTTCATTTAAAAAATAATACACTTGATAGCAGTCCGATTACAACGATACGAAATATAAACGAGTTAAGTAGAATTAAATGATAGAACAGATGGAAGGAATCAGTCAGGTAAAGGAAAATTCACACCCTCCTCGCCAAACAGGTATACTAGAGCAGCGGTCCACCCATTTCATTGAAACTGAATTTAAATTCTTAGGCAAATTTTATTTATTTAGAAAAAGGGGGCCCCGAAGGTAGCAACATATTTTTTTTAATGTTTTAAAAAGTGAAAAAAAGAAAACCACCACAACTATTTTCTCTTTCAATTAGTTTCAATTAAAAAAATGAATCATCATAACTGTAAATATCATAATTAAAACACGAAAGTAACTGTATTTTATTTTGAAAGCATGTTTAAATACAATTAAATTAAAATTAATAAATCAAAGTAATCTAAAATATAAGCAATCAACGTCCCTCTCCCTAGTGGGCCGCCGTAAAATTATCAAACGTTGACCGGTCCGCGGTGATAAAAAGGTTGGGTAACAGTGTACTAGAGCAGGGGTGGCCAACAAGTCAATTACGAATTTAATTTTGGTCGATCGTCGATCACTGGCAATGACTGGAGTGGAATTTTGTATACAATGGACTTTGAAGCGATTCTAGAAGAGAAAACCTTTTAGCAATAATTTAATGCATTGTGGGAATTTGTCGAGATCATAAATTCCTAAAATTCTGGCAACCTGACACTGTGATCTCCATCCATCTAGCATTTTGACATATGTCTTTTCACCGGACGCAATACGTGAACGCAATTGTTAGAGCT